CAAGGCGCTGGGTTCTTGCAGGTGTGGATGTGGTCTGGATGTTGTCCTGTGTCCTGTGGTCTCTATTTTAGGAAGATTTTTCTTTGTTATATTTTCATAGCTCTATGTGTTTTTGGGAGGAGATTTCCACTGCTCTACTCACGCCGCCATCTTGGCTCCCGCCTCTCGACAGTGTTTTGTTAAACCTGTTTTATTAAATCTCTAAATAAGTTATGTTGAGACTATCATAGGAAGAATATCATCTGAGAAATCTTCCCAATTTAGCAGACAGTGAATATCCTCAAACATTCTGGGGGCTTAATCCAGAAACTCTAATTTATGGCCATGTTTCCCAAACACATATGTAAAAAGATGTGCACATGAGTTCAAATCAGTGAAAACAGTTGTCAAAATACTGATGATTTTGTGAACCTGATGGCTGCCAAGGTTATATCGGATCAATTCATTCAATTCCATAAACATTTACTGAGCACTTCTGTTTTCAGAATGCCAATGGACAGACAGACACATGGCTCATGGCTGGATCAAGGCCAAGTCTGTCATCAAGGATTCCAGGACCTGCCATAGGGGCACCAATAGATTGAAATATGGAAATCAAAGCAAGAATAATTCTGGATTTCAGTTTCTGACCAAATTTAATGTCTCCAGAGCAGTGATTGGGTGACAGGGTGTCCTATCTGGTCCTCATTTTACCAAGTGGGTCACATCCTGTTTCTTCATCATTTCATCACTCTACAGCCGGCTCAGCCCTGATGGGGCAAGACAACAACCAGAAAGTGCTGGAATGTGACCAGAGCTGAGGCAGTGCTCACCAGTTCTTGCTCATGGGCTCATCCCACAAGCATTTATTAAATTCCTACTATGTGCAAGGCAAGGCGGTAGATACAAAGGTAAACACGGTCAAGTGGTCCCCACCCTTCAGGTTCCTTGTAGGGTACAGGTCACAATAGGCTGCTCTCATAACTGTTGTGGGGGTGAGCGAACTGGGCCAAGGTAAAAACAAATGGTCAGAAGAATGGCATTGGTGAAAGAGAATCGCAAGAAGCAGTGTGTCATGATTGGCAGTAGAGTGGGTTTTCTGGAACAAAGGAGTTGAGAAACCATGATTCTGAGAGGCAGAAAGGCAAACACTAGGTTTTCTAACAGTGGTTGCTATGACCAAAAACCAAAAGACAGAATTTCATGTTAGTTTCTGGGCCCTACCTGTACATATTGGTATTATCATCAGCATTATCTTGGAATAGGAACAATGTCTCACAGGAAACATTGGTTTAATGTGTGATTTAATTCAATACAAACAAGACTTCCTTAATCTATGACCAGAAAAAAAAATTTTAAGTGAACTCAGCTAAATGTCTCAAACATTTCACACGCACACAACTTAAACAGTTAATAGCTTCTAAGTGTGAAGTTTGGTACAAATTACTGAATTTCCTTAGGTCTTTGCTTCCAAATCTGTTATGGTGAGGACTGTACACAGAGGAAGTGCTACATTCATGTTAGCTATATTATAATTAAATTATCATGTTAAGCTCAAAGTCAGAATACTCAGCCTATCTCCTTTCTTTGTCCTTCATATGTTCTATCCCTAGATACTCTTGGGTGAACATCTACTTATTATATAATCTTTTAAGAAACTTCTTTTAATCCTTGAGACAGTGTTCACAAATTTAATCTGGTACTTCACAAGTTGCTGAGACGCTGGCAATTATTTCTTTAAACAGTATTTTCAGAGTACTAAATTATGGGAGGTGACAGCTATAGTAAATCTCCTGAGCTCTTTGATCCCCAGACAATTCTTCCTGGAAAGGACTACTTCTGACCTTCAGTTCACAGCAGTTACAAATGTCAAAGATGGACCTTCTCCCTCCTCCCAGGCTCCCTTCCCACCCTGCTGACCTCAGTTACACCTTCCTATCCCACAGCTTGCCTCCTTGTAGATAACTGAATGCTGATGAGGAAGGACTGGGGGGCACTAAAAGGTCCCTGACCTGAAATATCTTCCTCTGCCCCTGCGGGTAGGCATTTCCTCATATGCACTGTACTCTGAGTCTGAGCAAAGAGGCTTCCCCTCCAAATCCATGACTATAAATATGCCTCTGGGTTAGAACTGTGTGTCACCAACAGTCCCTAACCAGTCCTCCTGGGAGAAGGGCGATAACCCATTATCTGGCTAAGCTATTCAGGAGCACGGCTGGAAGGCTGAGGATGTTTTAAGGAGAGGTACGAACTTGAGGCCTGCAGACAAATCTGATGGACAGTCGACAGTCATGTTTTATGGAGTGTACTTGAAGCCTTAAAGTTATTGACTTTTTAGTGACTTGTTAATGTTTTAAAACCAAGTTGTTTTATAATCTCTTTAAAAAACACAAAAATAGAAGCTCTAGCCAACATTGTCCTGCATCCACACAAAATAACAGGGGTCTCAGGTGTCCCCAAGCCAGCTTACCCACCTGCCATGGGCCTCTGAGATTGTATGGAAAAGTCAGAGAGTGGGACTGGGCACATGGTACCCATTTATCTGTTCATTTCAAATGTTTCTTTTAGCCCTACAAATACAAAAAACACAACACAATATGAAAAAAATAGATGACACAAAGTAGCATAAATAGTTCTTGTCTTAAAAGAATTTAGGGCTACTGGGAAACCAAACTATACATGTTAAACTTAAAATAAAGACACAATGCTTACATTTTAAAAGCACTTTATACTTTCACTTCCCTGGTCTCTTAGACATTTGCTTCTGTTGTCTCCAGCACTTGTCTCCCCATAGCTGGCTGTCTCCAACTAGACCCAACTCCTTGAGGCCAGACACTGCCTTCTAACTGTGCTCAGCACCAAGTGCTCAAGAAATGATAGGTGGGAGCATGTGAGACCCTGGTATTTTGTGGGGATGCAAGACAATGTGGCTAGCACTTCTATTTTCATGTTTTTGTTTTTCAAAAGAAGTTATAAAATAACCTGGTTTTAAAGTATTAACAAGTCACTGAAAACAAAAACAAAAACAAAAGCTTTAAAATACTGAGTAGAACCAACAATTCCTGACTGTGGTTCATGAGTAAAGGGCAAATAAAATTTTAAAATAGTAGCGACCACTTATTAACTACTCTGTCATCCATTTTATGCATACTATTTATTTTTTGGCATAACTAATTAAACATAAATAACACTTGTGGTTAGAAAGTCATGCAACACCTAAGCATACAGAATAGAAAGTGAAAGCTTGTTTTCTCCCTTTCCTAAAGCCGCACCCCTCCCCAGGTGTCCACCAATTCTGAGTTTGGGATGCATTCTTCCAGATATAAATGGATATATAGACGTATCACCATACATTTCCGATTAGCCCCATTTTACAGGTGAGTAAACTGCAGCACAGTAAGGTTGAAGTGTTCATCCAAAACCTCAGAGCAGGCAAATATTCAGGCTGAGATTCAAATCCAGAACTTTTTGGGCCTTAAATCAGCGCATTTCTTCTGCCAAGCCCCTTTGGAAAATTTTATGGATGAAGAAGCCGAGGCTCACAGACTTTCCCGAGCAGTCGGAACCACATAGTTCGCAGCCCAACCTGGGAGAGGCTGGGCCGACTGTAATGACTGCACGAGAGAGGCTGTGAGAAGAGCCTCGGCCCGCCAGGATCTGGGGCCCGGACCCTACCGGCCCAGAGCGCAGCCCTCGCTGGCGCCCCGGGCTCGCCCACGCCGCTCCGGTACAGGCGCCACCCAGCTGCTCCACGCCCCTGGCGGTCGCCCCGCCGGGGCAGGCCCAGCGCTCGTACCGCCCACTCTGAGCTGGTCGCGAGGCCGAGGTCCAGAGACTGGAGCCCCAGCCAGGCCCTGCGCACCGGTCCGGGAGCGACGGCTGCCGGGAACCCGGCTGGGACCGCCTCGGCTTCGCCCCCTAAACCCTCGGCGGACGCCCAGCACGCAGGGGTGGCCGCGGCCCGCAGCCCCGGTGTGGGTGGCCCGGCGCGCGGAGGCTAGGGGGTGGGCCGCCCCAACGCGGGGACCACCGAGGGGCGCGGGCGGGGCCCGAGGCGGCGGCTGTGTCCCGACCCGGCTCAGGGGCCGCCGCGGAGCAGGGCTGCTTCGGAGAGCACCTGGACGTAGAAGGGTTAACGGGCCGCCGGGGCCGCGCAGAACAGGTACAGACCTTCCCTGGGACCCCAGCCCGGCCGCTCTCCCTCCCCGGTCGCGTTAGACCCTCCTCCCCGCGCCGGCGCCGCCCCGGCTCACTGCGCCCCGCCGTCGCGCCCCAGCCACGACCCCGGTCCCAGCCCTTAAAAGCCTCGGAAGATCTCCCAGTCCCTGGGATCAAATTCCTGGGGAGGACTCTGCTGCCCTGGAACTCTGGTCCCGTCACCCGAGAGGGGAATCAGCCGAAATTCCTACTGAGTCGCATAGTAAAGTTGGAAAACACAGCCAGGAGCACGCGCCGGTGTCTCCTGCCCTCCTCCTGGAGGAGGTTGCCCCTCCAAGATGTGCGCCCCCGCCTCCCCCTTACGTCCTAAAGTTGGGGGTCATGGATGCTGGGAGGGATGCAGGTGGGTGCCCTTGATCCAGCTTAGCCTGATGACTAGAAAGGAAGGACAGCTGTCGGGATGGTCCCGCAGGACCCAGAAATGGAGGGCACAATGAGTACCAAGGCATTCTGGCCCAGGATGGAGACTCCATGCCAGCCCTGAAATACACTGCCCAGCCCCCTTTCCCGCAGTGGCCCATCTCCCAGAGGTGGGTCCCTCTAGGGGTGAAAGGGTTAGCCCTGCCCAGGTCTCTCCTCTCTGACCTTCACTGTCCAGTGTGGAGGTGTGGCCAGGAGGAACCCTGGTTTGTCCAGAGAGCAGTGTCCAGCCCGGCACCAGAGTGGCCACTTCTGACCTCTCCTTTGCTCCCCCTGGGCGGTCAGACACACCAGATGAGGGACATGCAGAGGGGTGAAAAGCACAAATGTGTGTCTGTTTCCCCAGTGGACAGGGTGTCGGCCCCCTTGCCCAGCTGTGCACGGGGGTGGGGTGGGACTTTTCTAGAGAGGGAGCCAGGCCTGGCCTGGGCCCTAGGAGCTCATGTCACCCCACCCTGCACCCCTCACTTCTCCAGGGAGCTGCCAAAGCCCAAGCAGCTCAGGATGGGATTACGTGTACTGGGTGGACCCATGGAGAGAGACAGCAGGATGCAGCCCTGGGCTAGCAGAAGGAAGAGGCAAAGAGGGAGTGCAGAGGGGACCCAGCAGCACAGAAGGCGGGGACAGTGACCATCATCCCCATCTCTCCTTCCCTTCAGCCTCAAGTAACAGAGTTAGGCAGAAAGGTGAAGGTTTGGGTGGAACATTAGCCCTTCTCTGGAGCCCCTACCCATTCACCCCGACCCTGTCAGGGTGGAGCTACTGACCTCAGTGGCCGGCCCAGCCAAGGGAAGGAGCAGCCATCAGAAACCCCCTTCTAAACCCCAAGCAACTGAAATATCATGGGCTCCGGCTCAAATAAATTTCCCAAGTGTTGGTATCTTAGGAGGGGAGTGGGGCTGAGTTTTGCTACTCCTGAGCACTTTCCTGTCCTTCCCTCTGTCATTTTCCTGCCCCTGAACTGGCCCACCTCGGCATTAGCTCTGTGGATTCCTCTCCCAGGTGCCTTTCGGATCCAAGAGAAACATTTTTTTTTTCCTGGAAAGCAGAACTAAAAGTTGTCTGATGAGTGGGGGTGGGAAGTGTTCATAGAGAGGAGGAAGAGGCTGGAGGGCAAAGAGGAGCGGTGGGGAAAGTCAGGCTTTGAGACCAGAGGAGGGGTCCAACCTCCACTTTCCTATCACCAAAGCCAGACTTCAGGGTGAACTTCCCAGCTCTTCAGAATGACAGGCCTGTGACTGGGGGCTTTAGCTGCCTCTCTCCTTCCCAGGTTCCTTCAGCCCAACATAGTCGTGCCTGAAACTGAACCAGTGCTGGATGCTGGCCCCTTAGAGAGAGGTTAAATCGCAGTGGGAAAATCTCTTGCTTCTCTAAACATTACACCATCAAGCCTCTCAGTTTATGCCTTGGCTAAGAAGTGTGTGAGGCAGGCAGACATGTGCCCGAGTGTTCCGGAAGGAGCTTAGCTAAGAAGGGAAGAAAAAGCTGGTGGCAGGTAGGAAATGGAAAGTGCAAGAGGCTCCTTCTCAGCTCCTCAGAGAGGACGTCTGGTAGGTCCTCACACAGCCTCCATCCTTAATTTTCCAGGACCTCTGGTGGGGAGGAGGGGAGCCATATGAAAACCAGTTAAAGATGTGTGTGCCTGTGTGTGTTCGGATTGGGAGTTGGAGGAGCTGAGGGCAGACTCCTACCCTCTAGCCTCAGCTGATGGACAAGAGCAGCATTCCTTCCTGCTCTCACCCTTAAGATCATAAAGGGATGTGTTCGTCTTCCTCCACCCCTCCATTCTCACTCAGAGATGTCCCGAAGAGTCATCCCTCCCAACCTCCAGCTTTCCAGCAGCTGGAGATGCAAGCACCAGGCTTCTGTCCCTGCAGAGCCTACCCCCTCCAGGCCCAGATGGCCGACTAGAGGGCTTTCTTCCCGTCCATGCCTTCCTTGCCCGGGGCAATCAAGGGAGGAGAGATGGAGAAGTGGCCCTGCAGGTAAGAGGGGCTGCTGGTGGAGGGAGGGCCCGTCTCTGGAAGTGAGGGGAAGGAGAGCACTGGGAGGGTGCTCGAGCGAAGTGATGAGTAATGACGAGTAATGACGGCTTTCTGAGAAGTGGGCATCAGGATGCGGGGAGCCTGCTGGTGGGGTGGGGGTGAGGGACAGTGTCAAAACACCTCCTCTTGCTGCTGGCTGACATTCCTACTCCTGCCTTCCATCTACAGGCCCTGGTTGTGCCTGATGCTGCTTCTGCCCCTCCCTCGGTTCTGCCAGGATCGGGAGGTGAGCCAAGGACAGGGGCGAGATCCCTTCCTCTCCCTGATCTCCCATGACACTTCTCCAGGCCATGCCTCCATTTGTGATGTCCTCTTGTGAGCCATGACCCCTTTTTCTCACACTTGCCTCTCCCAGCCTCCCCTGAACCCCCAACCCCTGCCCTTCTAACTCTTGTCAAATAGGGTCAAGTTAATTGGGTGGGCGCTGCTACTGAATGTGACCTTGAGCGGGTAACAACCACCCCAAGCCTTGAGCATAGGACTCAAGACTGTACAGTTCCCTCGAAAATCATTCTAATTTTGTCTGACCTTTTTGTCTACATAGGTGTTGTCTGGACACTCTCTTCAGATACACCCTGAGGAGGGCCAGGGCCTTGAGGGCGTCTGGGGTCCCTGGGACCAGTGGGCCTCTTGCTCCCAGCCCTGTGGGGTTGGGGTGCAGCACAGGAGCCGAACCTGTCAGCTGCCCACAGCTCAACTCCACCAGGGCCAGCCCCTCCCACCCAGGCCCCCAAGCTATCCTGAAGCCGTGCTCCCAGGGGCTCAGGGCCCCAGACCCCAGACTTCCCGAGAAACCCTCCCTCCTTACAGGCCACAGACCTGGGGAAGAGGTGGCCTATTTCGAGGCCCCACTTCTCAATTAGGGCCAGAGCAGGCCCAGGGGATTCCAGGAGCCCGGAGGTGAGGGGTGGGGCTTTGAGGGGAGGGCCGGCCTTGGGTAAGGGGCGGGCTTGGCCTGAAAGGAAGAGGGTAAAGGATACTTGGCCTAGGGAGAGTTTGGCAGTAGGAAGTAGGCAGTGGCGGTATGGTCAGAGCTGTAAGCCTGTGTCTGCAACACCTTTGCAGGTCCTGGGTTCGAGATCCCATCAAGCCAGGAATGTTTGGTTATGGAAGAGTGCCTTTTGCTTTGCCGCTCCATCGGAACCGCAGACACCCCCAGAGGCCACCCGAACCTGAGCTTTCCCAGGCCTCAGATCTTCCATCTCTGACTCCAAAAGCAGAGCTGACCTCCACAAACCATACCTCTCCAACTCAGTTCCCTCTTAAAGAACTGTCTGTCCATATCCCATCCCCCCTGGCAGAACCCCCAGGCCCCAGAAGTGCTCAGAGAGAGGTGCCGTCTAGAACCAGGCCTAATCCCACCCGGTCCCAACGCAGAGCCCAGGCCACAGACACAGAGCCCCCCTTCTCCACCCCATCCCCAAGAGAAAGTAGCTCTTTCCACATGTCTCCTCAGCCAAGAATTCCAAGTTCTCAGGGTTGGGCCGGTCCCAGGCTGGCAGCAAGACGCCCTAATCCCTCCCTTTCTGTCCCTCGGGGCCGAGGCCCGCAGAGCCAGGAGCGCCAGAGACCTGGGGGGACTCTTCACGGGCCCCTACTGGAGTCTGCCTCTCTCTACGCAGACAGCTGGTTGCCTCTTCTGAGTGCTGGCGCCCGCGCCACCTCCCTCTGGAGCGTCTTTGCTCCTAGTAGCCCTGTCCCAAGATGTTCTGGGGAGAGTGAGCAGCTGAGAGCATGTAGCCAAGTGGTGAGTTCTCCCACCGACCATTCCCTCCCCGGACTTCCAAATCTGCCTCCCTGCCCCTGAGGCTGGGTCCTTAGCCTGTCAGAGCTGGACCTGAGGGAGAAGGTCCTTGACATCTGACCTCCTCAGGGTAGGAGTCTTTGGGCCTGTTCATAGACCTGACCTTCCCTCCTACCCCCCAAATCCAGCCCTGACCGACACCCCCATTTTCTTCCCCAGCTTTGACTCCTCTGTATCCTTCCTACCTCAGCCCTGCCCCCCTGAACAGCCAGACCCCCGGGCTCTGCAGTGTGCAGCCTTTAACTCCCAGGAGTTCATGGGCCGGCAGTACCAGTGGGAGCCCTTCACAGAAGGTGAGGCTTCTAGCCCACATGGTGGACAAAGGGGGCTTAGGATTGGGGGATGATGGGAAGAGGAAGACACCCAACCCCTCTGTTTCTCCTCTGTAGGCCCTTGTATTTCTCCTCTGTGTCATAATTTCTTTATTTCCCAGGGCTGAAGTGAAGAGACAGATAGCACAGGCCCAGAAAGGGGAAGGGGGTTTCAGAACAGGGCCCAGCTGACAGATGGTGGTGGATGGTCAGCAGAGGGGTCAGGCTAGAGCTGCCCTTGGCTGGTTTCTTCTGGAAAGAAGTCCATCCCAGGAGGTGGGATGTACATGACATGAGAGGAACATGGTCAGAAGGACCCTGTCCAACAGTGACAGTGGGGTTGTGGGGACCCTATGGTCTGGGGGTGGTGTTATATCACTAGTACCTGAGTTACATCCACTTGAGTTTAGGCCTATGTCAACTTGTTCTAAGATAACCCCTCGTGACCTGAACTCACATAATCATAGGTTTCAAGTATCCACCCTCTCTGAGAATTCACAACCCCTTTGCTGGGTTTGGTGACCTCAACTGATCTGACCCAACTTTTGTGTAACCCTCAAACCAACCTTTCAGAGTATGGACTTATCATGTTCCCTTCATCCATAGTGATCTAGGCAACCTCAGGATATCCCATAGCTAATAGAAGCCAAATTGCATTCAGGGCCCTGGGGCCTTTGCCAGTTAACCTCCCCCCAGGGATCCCAGCTAACCACCCTTCCCCTATGTCTCTTAGTTCAGGGCTCCGAACGCTGTGAACTGAACTGCCGTCCCCGTGGCTTCCGCTTTTATGTCCGTCACACTGAAAAGGTCCAGGATGGGACCCTGTGTCAGCCTGGAGCCCTAGACATCTGTGTGGCTGGACGCTGTCTGGTGAGGGAGGATGGGGTGCACGCACATACACACACACATGCACGCACACATACGGACCACACACAGCCTCCTCATTTATCATCACAACAAACACCAGACTGAGATTGCAAAGGAAAAGTCTGCCAGGCTGGAGGTGAGAGCAGAGGCAGGAGGTGAACTGCAGGAAGGACCCACTTGGCACATCCAAGATTCGCTGAGGCTGACTGGGTGGTGGGGCTGGCCAAGAAACACATTATCATGTAGTGCAAAGATCAAGACTTGTGGCTTGCTGAAAGGGCCCAAGAAGACCAGGCTGGGGTGTGAGGTGGTGTCAGGCTTCAAGTGGTCCCTGCCTCATCCCATTTTCCCCCAGAGCCCTGGCTGTGATGGGATCCTCGGCTCTGGAAGGCATCCGGATGGCTGTGGAGTCTGTGGGGGTGATGATTCTACCTGTCGCCTCATCTCAGGGAATGTCACTGACCGGGGGGGCCCTCTGGGCTATCAGAAGATCTTACTGATTCCTGCAGGAGCCTCCCGGCTCCAGATTGCCCAGCACCGGCCCAGCTCCAACTACCTTGGTGAGCTCCCGGATTCCCTGAGTCTCGGGTGCCCGTTGCATTCCAGTCTCCTGGCTGTGCCCTCCACACCCCCATTCAGCACAGCAGACAGGCCAAGTAGGGAGAAGCCGAGGGCTCCCTCCCTTGTTCAGTAGACTTCCCTCACGTCCTGATCTCCAATCTACAGCACTTCGAGGCCCTGGGGGCCGGTCCATTATCAATGGGAACTGGGCTGTGGATCCCCCTGGGTCCTACATGGCTGATGGGACTATCTTCCGGTACAACCGTCCTCCACGGGAGGAGGGCACAGGAGAGAGTATGTCAGCTGAAGGCCCCACCACCCGACCTGTGGATGTCTATGTGAGCTTGGGGCCTGGTAGGCCTTTCCCTCTCAGGGCAGAGATGTGGGTGTCAAGATGGGGGAGAAGGCTATTGGTATGTCCCCACTTGCCACCCCAAAACATTCTTTGCTGTCTTTTCTCCCCAGATGATCTTTCAGGAGGAAAACCCAGGTGTTTTTTATCAATATGTCATCTCTTCACCTCCTCCAAAGCTCGAGAGGCCCACCTCAGAGTCCTATATCCCCCAACTCCAGCCCGGTAACCCCTGGACCTGGGAACAGAGAGGGGCTGAACGCAGGGCTCCAGGCCGTGGGGTTGTATCTGAGTCATCTACTTGGCTCTCCCTGCACAGAGATTGTGAGGGTGGAGACCCCACCTGCTTCGGTGCTGCACCACCCCCGGGCCCCAGGCATCCTCCAGCGCCAGGTGCGGGTCCCCCAGATGCCCACCCTGCCCCATCTCAGGACTCCCCTGGGGTCTCTGGCTGGATACTGGAAGCGGGTGGGACACTCCGAGTGCTCAGCATCGTGTGGAAAAGGTAAGACTTCAGGCCGCAGCCTGAACTCCCAGCATCCTGAGCCCAGCCCTGGATCGTGGGCCCGCATCTTGACTGTGTGCCCGCCAAACTCCAGTGCCGAGGACTGTACTGACCCAGGACCCTAAGCTACCCCACCTCTTCTCCTTCTCATCCCCTTCAGGTGTTTGGCGCCCCGTTTTCCTCTGCATTTCTCATGAGTCAGGAGAGGAGCTGGATGAAGACAGCTGTGCCATGGGCGCCAGGCCGCCAGCCCCCCTGGAACCCTGCCATGGCCCCCCATGCCCCCCATAGTGAGTATGACCCACAGGGAAAGGTTAGTGTCCTGGGAACACAACGGTGACCCTGGGCAAATACGTCCTCACCGCTCCTAGGGTCTCACCTGGACCCTGCACACACACACGGTCTGGCTGCAGAGGGACAGTATTTGATTAGAAGGTCTGCCGTTCTGTCGGCAGCAAGAAGCCCTGGCAGCCCGAGGCCACAGGGGCATCCAGAGCGAATGCTCGTGATGCCCACTCCTCTGAGGGGCCCCCATCTCCAGCCAGCGTCCCTCTCCCTGTACATGGCAGCCCCACACATCTTCTCTGTCTCTTCCCCGCCCTGCCCATGCTCAACAGCTGGGAAGCTGGCGAGTGGACATCCTGTAGCCGCTCCTGTGGCCCTGGCACCCAGTACCGCCAGGTACGCTGCTGGCAGGAGTTTGGGGGTGGTGGCTCCTCAGTGCCCCCGGAGCGCTGTGGACATCTTCCCCAACCTGACATCACCCAGCCCTGCCAGCCTCGCCTCTGTGGTTACTGGGAGGTTCGATCCCCCTGGAGCCAGGTGAGTGGGGCCAGGCAAAGAGGCACTGGGTGGTGGGAAGGGTCCTGAAAAGGGCACGAGTGGGCTAGGGCAGTGGTTTTTCCAACTTTTTAATCAGAAACTTTTTACAAACAAGATCTCATATGGAATCCTGTAAGTCAGATAAGAGATTGAACCAGGAGTGGAGGCCCAGAGCTCTATGCTCAGCCTGCTCCTTATCCCTTAAAGCCATGTAACTACTGAGCCAGGGATCAAAGGCAGATCCTGGTTCAAAGCTATAGAGCTGAAGGTTGGCGAGGAAGCCCAGCTCCTCGGACCCTCCCCATCCCCCAGTGCTCTGTACGGTGCGGGCGTGGCCAGAGGAGCCGGCAAGTTCGCTGTGTTGGAAACAATGGTGACGAAGTGAGGGAGCAAGAGTGCACTCCAGGCCCCCCACGGCCCCCCAGCAGAGAGACCTGTGACATGGGGCCCTGTACCACAGCCTGGTTCCACAGCGACTGGAGCTCCAAGGTGGGCCCCACACCCCCGAGCCGAGCCCCAAGTCCCTGGTGCTCTGCACACAGGACACCATCTCAGAGCCTTTCCAACCCAGTTCAACACACATTTACTGAGCAAGCACCTACCATCTGCTAGACACTGCTGGTGCTGGGAACTTGGAGATAAGTGAGTCCTGGATCCACCCCCAGCACAGGTTCCCCCTATCTGGCTGGCACCCCTGGGCACTCCCTAACTCCCGGGATCAAGACCCAGGATTGATGCACCATCCTCAGGTCCTCTTCCTCCCTATTCGGCACCAGCATCCCCGCCTCACATAGGCCCCTCTGCTCCTTAACAGTGCTCAGCTGAGTGTGGCATAGGAATCCAGCAGCGTTCTGTGGTCTGCCTTGGGAGTGGGGAGGCCCCTGGGACAAGCCAGGCAGAAGCAGGAGCAGGAGCCAGTGAGCAGAGCTGTGCAGCAGGAAGCCGTCCCCCTGACATGCGTGCCTGCAGCTTGGGGCCCTGTGAGATGACCTGGTGCTGGTACACAGGGCCCTGGGCTGAGGTGAGCGGAGAGCCTGGGAGGGGGCCCCCATTGGTGGGATTCCCTGTAGGCAGTTGGGAGTGACCCCTGTTCTACCTTCCCCTTATACACTCTGCCCTTCCTCTATATTAGTGTTCCTCAGACTGTGGCTCTGGTACACAGTGGAGAGACATCATCTGTGTGTCCAAACTGGGGACAAAGTTCAATGTGACTTCTCCTAGCAACTGTTCTCACCTACCCAGGCCCCCTGCCCTGCAGCCCTGCCAGGGACAGGACTGCCGCGACCGATGGTTCTCTACGTCCTGGAGTCCGGTGAGTGTGTCAGCATGCTCAGCGTGGACTTCCAGGGAAGGGGAACCCCTCTCACTGTGCTGGCCCTCTGCCCCAGCATAAGGCCGGATGCGATTTAATATCCCACTTGTTCTAGACATGGAGAACAGGTGGGCCCCTCTCCCTGTGGGATTTCATAATGCTCCAGGACAGTCCCTCCACACACTACTTTCAGAGGAGGAGGAGCCTGGGTCACAGCGAAGGTCTGATTTGGTAGCCGGGGTCTCCCCAGTGTTCTCACTCCTGTCAGGGGGGCACACAGACAAGGGAGGTCCACTGCCTGACTGCCAACCAGACTCTCAGCACCCGATGCCCTCCTCATCTGCGGCCCTCCAGGAAACGACCCTGTAACAGCNTCGGCCCCCTTGCCCAGCTGTGCACGGGGGTGGGGTGGGACTTTTCTAGAGAGGGAGCCAGGCCTGGCCTGGGCCCTAGGAGCTCATGTCACCCCACCCTGCACCCCTCACTTCTCCAGGGAGCTGCCAAAGCCCAAGCAGCTCAGGATGGGATTACGTGTACCGGGTGGACCCATGGAGAGAGACAGCAGGATGCAGCCCTGGGCTAGCAGAAGGAAGAGGCAAAGAGGGAGTGCAGAGGGGACCCAGCAGCACAGAAGGCGGGGACAGTGACCATCATCCCCATCTCTCCTTCCCTTCAGCCTCAAGTAACAGAGTTAGGCAGAAAGGTGAAGGTTTGGGTGGAACATTAGCCCTTCTCTGGAGCCCCTACCCATTCACCCCGACCCTGTCAGGGTGGAGCTACTGACCTCAGTGGCCGGCCCAGCCAAGGGAAGGAGCAGCCATCAGAAACCCCCTTCTAAACCCCAAGCAACTGAAATATCATGGGCTCCGGCTCAAATAAATTTCCCAAGTGTTGGTATCTTAGGAGGGGAGTGGGGCTGAGTTTTGCTACTCCTGAGCACTTTCCTGTCCTTCCCTCTGTCATTTTCCTGCCCCTGAACTGGCCCACCTCGGCATTAGCTCTGTGGATTCCTCTCCCAGGTGCCTTTCGGATCCAAGAGAAACATTTTTTTTTTCCTGGAAAGCAGAACTAAAAGTTGTCTGATGAGTGGGGGTGGGAAGTGTTCATAGAGAGGAGGAAGAGGCTGGAGGGCAAAGAGGAGCGGTGGGGAAAGTCAGGCTTTGAGACCAGAGGAGGGGTCCAACCTCCACTTTCCTATCACCAAAGCCAGACTTCAGGGTGAACTTCCCAGCTCTTCAGAATGACAGGCCTGTGACTGGGGGCTTTAGCTGCCTCTCTCCTTCCCAGGTTCCTTCAGCCCAACATAGTCGTGCCTGAAACTGAACCAGTGCTGGATGCTGGCCCCTTAGAGAGAGGTTAAATCGCAGTGGGAAAATCTCTTGCTTCTCTAAACATTACACCATCAAGCCTCTCAGTTTATGCCTTGGCTAAGAAGTGTGTGAGGCAGGCAGACATGTGCCCGAGTGTTCCGGAAGGAGCTTAGCTAAGAAGGGAAGAAAAAGCTGGTGGCAGGTAGGAAATGGAAAGTGCAAGAGGCTCCTTCTCAGCTCCTCAGAGAGGACGTCTGGTAGGTCCTCACACAGCCTCCATCCTTAATTTTCCAGGACCTCTGGTGGGGAGGAGGGGAGCCATATGAAAACCAGTTAAAGATGTGTGTGCCTGTGTGTGTTCGGATTGGGAGTTGGAGGAGCTGAGGGCAGACTCCTACCCTCTAGCCTCAGCTGATGGACAAGAGCAGCATTCCTTCCTGCTCTCACCCTTAAGATCATAAAGGGATGTGTTCGTCTTCCTCCACCCCTCCATTCTCACTCAGAGATGTCCCGAAGAGTCATCCCTCCCAACCTCCAGCTTTCCAGCAGCTGGAGATGCAAGCACCAGGCTTCTGTCCCTGCAGAGCCTACCCCCTCCAGGCCCAGATGGCCGACTAGAGGGCTTTCTTCCCGTCCATGCCTTCCTTGCCCGGGGCAATCAAGGGAGGAGAGATGGAGAAGTGGCCCTGCAGGTAAGAGGGGCTGCTGGTGGAGGGAGGGCCCGTCTCTGGAAGTGAGGGGAAGGAGAGCACTGGGAGGGTGCTCGAGCGAAGTGATGAGTAATGACGAGTAATGACGGCTTTCTGAGAAGTGGGCATCAGGATGCGGGGAGCCTGCTGGTGGGGTGGGGGTGAGGGACAGTGTCAAAACACCTCCTCTTGCTGCTGGCTGACATTCCTACTCCTGCCTTCCATCTACAGGCCCTGGTTGTGCCTGATGCTGCTTCTGCCCCTCCCTCGGTTCTGCCAGGATCGGGAGGTGAGCCAAGGACAGGGGCGAGAACCCTTCCTCTCCCTGATCTCCCATGACACTTCTCCAGGCCATGCCTCCATTTGTGATGTCCTCTTGTGAGCCATGACCCCTTTTTCTCACACTTGCCTCTCCCAGCCTCCCCTGAACCCCCAACCCCTGCCCTTCTAACTCTTGTCAAATAGGGTCAAGTTAATTGGGTGGGCGCTGCTACTGAATGTGACCTTGAGCGGGTAACAACCACCCCAAGCCTTGAGCATAGGACTCAAGACTGTACAGTTCCCTCGAAAATCATTCTAATTTTGTCTGACCTTTTTGTCTACATAGGTGTTGTCTGGACACTCTCTTCAGATACACCCTGAGGAGGGCCAGGGCCTTGAGGGCGTCTGGGGTCCCTGGGACCAGTGGGCCTCTTGCTCCCAGCCCTGTGGGGTTGGGGTGCAGCACAGGAGCCGAACCTGTCAGCTGCCCACAGCTCAACTCCACCAGGGCCAGCCCCTCCCACCCAGGCCCCCAAGCTATCCTGAAGCCGTGCTCCCAGGGGCTCAGGGCCCCAGACCCCAGACTTCCCGAGAAACCCTCCCTCCTTACAGGCCACAGACCTGGGGAAGAGGTGGCCTATTTCGAGGCCCCACTTCTCAATTAGGGCCAGAGCAGGCCCAGGGGATTCCAGGAGCCCGGAGGTGAGGGGTGGGGCTTTGAGGGGAGGGCCGGCCTTGGGTAAGGGGCGGGCTTGGCCTGAAAGGAAGAGGGTAAAGGATACTTGGCCTAGGGAGACTTTGGCAGTAGGAAGTAGGCAGTGGCGGTATGGTCAGAGCTGTAAGCCTGTGTCTGCAACACCTTTGCAGGTCCTGGGTTCGAGATCCCATCAAGCCAGGAATGTTTGGTTATGGAAGAGTGCCTTTTGCTTTGCCGCTCCATCGGAACCGCAGACACCCCCAGAGGCCACCCGAACCTGAGCTTTCCCAGGCCTCAGATCTTCCATCTCTGACTCCAAAAGCAGAGCTGACCTCCACAAACCATACCTCTCCAACTCAGTTCCCTCTTAAAGAACTGTCTGTCCATATCCCATCCCCCCTGGCAGAACCCCCAGGCCCCAGAAGTGCTCAGAGAGAGGTGCCGTCTAGAACCAGGCCTAATCCCACCCGGTCCCAACGCAGAGCCCAGGCCACAGACACAGAGCCCCCCTTCTCCACCCCATCCCCAAGAGAAAGTAGCTCTTTCCACATGTCTCCTCAGCCAAGAATTCCAAGTTCTCAGGGTTGGGCCGGTCCCAGGCTGGCAGCAAGACGCCCTAATCCCTCCCTTTCTGTCCCTCGGGGCCGAGGCCCGCAGAGCCAGGAGCGCCAGAGACCTGGGGGGACTCTTCACGGGCCCCTACTGGAGTCTGCCTCTCTCTACGCAGACAGCTGGTTGCCTCTTCTGAGTGCTGGCGCCCGCGCCACCTCCCTCTGGAGCGTCTTTGCTCCTAGTAGCCCTGTCCCAAGATGTTCTGGGGAGAGTGAGCAGCTGAGAGCATGTAGCCAAGTGGTGAGTTCTCCCACCGACCATTCCCTCCCCGGACTTCCAAATCTGCCTCCCTGCCCCTGAGGCTGGGTCCTTAGCCTGTCAGAGCTGGACCTGAGGGAGAAGGTCCTTGACATCTGACCTCCTCAGGGTAGGAGTCTTTGGGCCTGTTCATAGACCTGACCTTCCCTCCTACCCCCCAAATCCAGCCCTGACCGACACCCCCATTTTCTTCCCCAGCTTTGACTCCTCTGTATCCTTCCTACCTCAGCCCTGCCCCCCTGAACAGCCAGACCCCCGGGCTCTGCAGTGTGCAGCCTTTAACTCCCAGGAGTTCATGGGCCGGCAGTACCAGTGGGAGCCCTTCACAGAAGGTGAGGCTTCTAGCCCACATGGTGGACAAAGGGGGCTTAGGATTGGGGGATGATGGGAAGAGGAAGACACCCAACCCCTCTGTTTCTCCTCTGTAGGCCCTTGTATTTCTCCTCTGTGTCATAATTTCTTTATTTCCCAGGGCTGAAGTGAAGAGACAGATAGCACAGGCCCAGAAAGGGGAAGGGGGTTTCAGAACAGGGCCCAGCTGACAGATGGTGGTGGATGGTCAGCAGAGGGGTCAGGCTAGAGCTGCCCTTGGCTGGTTTCTTCTGGAAAGAAGTCCATCCCAGGAGGTGGGATGTACATGACATGAGAGGAACATGGTCAGAAGGACCCTGTCCAACAGTGACAGTGGGGTTGTGGGGACCCTATGGTCTGGGGGTGGTGTTATATCACTAGTACCTGAGTTACATCCACTTGAGTTTAGGCCTATGTCAACTTGTTCTAAGATAACCCCTCGTGACCTGAACTCACATAATCATAGGTTTCAAGTATCCACCCTCTCTGAGAATTCACAACCCCTTTGCTGGGTTTGGTGACCTCAACTGATCTGACCCAACTTTTGTGTAACCCTCAAACCAACCTTTCAGAGTATGGACTTATCATGTTCCCTTCATCCATAGTGATCTAGGCAACCTCAGGATATCCCATAGCTAATAGAAGCCAAATTGCATTCAGGGCCCTGGGGCCTTTGCCAGTTAACCTCCCCCCAGGGATCCCAGCTAACCACCCTTCCCCTATGTCTCTTAGTTCAGGGCTCCGAACGCTGTGAACTGAACTGCCGTCCCCGTGGCTTCCGCTTTTATGTCCGTCACACTGAAAAGGTCCAGGATGGGACCCTGTGTCAGCCTGGAGCCCTAGACATCTGTGTGGCTGGACGCTGTCTGGTGAGGGAGGATGGGGTGCACGCACATACACACACACATGCACGCACACATACGGACCACACACAGCCTCCTCATTTATCATCACAACAAACACCAGACTGAGATTGCAAAGGAAAAGTCTGCCAGGCTGGAGGTGAGAGCAGAGGCAGGAGGTGAACTGCAGGAAGGACCCACTTGGCACATCCAAGATTCGCTGAGGCTGACTGGGTGGTGGGGCTGGCCAAGAAACACATTATCATGTAGTGCAAAGATCAAGACTTGTGGCTTGCTGAAAGGGCCCAAGAAGACCAGGCTGGGGTGTGAGGTGGTGTCAGGCTTCAAGTGGTCCCTGCCTCATCCCATTTTCCCCCAGAGCCCTGGCTGTGATGGGATCCTCGGCTCTGGAAGGCATCCGGATGGCTGTGGAGTCTGTGGGGGTGATGATTCTACCTGTCGCCTCATCTCAGGGAATGTCACTGACCGGGGGGGCCCTCTGGGCTATCAGAAGATCTTACTGATTCCTGCAGGAGCCTCCCGGCTCCAGATTGCCCAGCACCGGCCCAGCTCCAACTACCTTGGTGAGCTCCCGGATTCCCTGAGTCTCGGGTGCCCGTTGCATTCCAGTCTCCTGGCTGTGCCCTCCACACCCCCATTCAGCACAGCAGACAGGCCAAGTAGGGAGAAGCCGAGGGCTCCCTCCCTTGTTCAGTAGACTTCCCTCACGTCCTGATCTCCAATCTACAGCACTTCGAGGCCCTGGGGGCCGGTCCATTATCAATGGGAACTGGGCTGTGGATCCCCCTGGGTCCTACATGGCTGATGGGACTATCTTCCGGTACAACCGTCCTCCACGGGAGGAGGGCACAGGAGAGAGTATGTCAGCTGAAGGCCCCACCACCCGACCTGTGGATGTCTATGTGAGCTTGGGGCCTGGTAGGCCTTTCCCTCTCAGGGCAGAGATGTGGGTGTCAAGATGGGGGAGAAGGCTATTGGTATGTCCCCACTTGCCACCCCAAAACATTCTTTGCTGTCTTTTCTCCCCAGATGATCTTTCAGGAGGAAAACCCAGGTGTTTTTTATCAATATGTCATCTCTTCACCTCCTCCAAAGCTCGAGAGGCCCACCTCAGAGTCCTATATCCCCCAACTCCAGCCCGGTAACCCCTGGACCTGGGAACAGAGAGGGGCTGAACGCAGGGCTCCAGGCCGTGGGGTTGTATCTGAGTCATCTACTTGGCTCTCCCTGCACAGAGATTGTGAGGGTGGAGACCCCACCTGCTTCGGTGCTGCACCACCCCCGGGCCCCAGGCATCCTCCAGCGCCAGGTGCGGGTCCCCCAGATGCCCACCCTGCCCCATCTCAGGACTCCCCTGGGGTCTCTGGCTGGATACTGGAAGCGGGTGGGACACTCCGAGTGCTCAGCATCGTGTGGAAAAGGTAAGACTTCAGGCCGCAGCCTGAACTCCCAGCATCCTGAGCCCAGCCCTGGATCGTGGGCCCGCATCTTGACTGTGTGCCCGCCAAACTCCAGTGCCGAGGACTGTACTGACCCAGGACCCTAAGCTACCCCACCTCTTCTCCTTCTCATCCCCTTCAGGTGTTTGGCGCCCCGTTTTCCTCTGCATTTCTCATGAGTCAGGAGAGGAGCTGGATGAAGACAGCTGTGCCATGGGCGCCAGGCCGCCAGCCCCCCTGGAACCCTGCCATGGCCCCCCATGCCCCCCATAGTGAGTATGACCCACAGGGAAAGGTTAGTGTCCTGGGAACACAACGGTGACCCTGGGCAAATACGTCCTCACCGCTCCTAGGGTCTCACCTGGACCCTGCACACACACACGGTCTGGCTGCAGAGGGACAGTATTTGATTAGAAGGTCTGCCGTTCTGTCGGCAGCAAGAAGCCCTGGCAGCCCGAGGCCACAGGGGCATCCAGAGCGAATGCTCGTGATGCCCACTCCTCTGAGGGGCCCCCATCTCCAGCCAGCGTCCCTCTCCCTGTACATGGCAGCCCCACACATCTTCTCTGTCTCTTCCCCGCCCTGCCCATGCTCAACAGCTGGGAAGCTGGCGAGTGGACATCCTGTAGCCGCTCCTGTGGCCCTGGCACCCAGTACCGCCAGGTACGCTGCTGGCAGGAGTTTGGGGGTGGTGGCTCCTCAGTGCCCCCGGAGCGCTGTGGACATCTTCCCCAACCTGACATCACCCAGCCCTGCCAGCCTCGCCTCTGTGGTTACTGGGAGGTTCGATCCCCCTGGAGCCAGGTGAGTGGGGCCAGGCAAAGAGGCACTGGGTGGTGGGAAGGGTCCTGAAAAGGGCACGAGTGGGCTAGGGCAGTGGTTTTTCCAACTTTTTAATCAGAAACTTTTTACAAACAAGATCTCATATGGAATCCTGTAAGTCAGATAAGAGATTGAACCAGGAGTGGAGGCCCAGAGCTCTATGCTCAGCCTGCTCCTTATCCCTTAAAGCCATGTAACTACTGAGCCAGGGATCAAAGGCAGATCCTGGTTCAAAGCTATAGAGCTGAAGGTTGGCGAGGAAGCCCAGCTCCTCGGACCCTCCCCATCCCCCAGTGCTCTGTACGGTGCGGGCGTGGCCAGAGGAGCCGGCAAGTTCGCTGTGTTGGAAACAATGGTGACGAAGTGAGGGAGCAAGAGTGCACTCCAGGCCCCCCACGGCCCCCCAGCAGAGAGACCTGTGACATGGGGCCCTGTACCACAGCCTGGTTCCACAGCGACTGGAGCTCCAAGGTGGGCCCCACACCCCCGAGCCGAGCCCCAAGTCCCTGGTGCTCTGCACACAGGACACCATCTCAGAGCCTTTCCAACCCAGTTCAACACACATTTACTGAGCAAGCACCTACCATCTGCTAGACACTGCTGGTGCTGGGAACTTGGAGATAAGTGAGTCCTGGATCCACCCCCAGCACAGGTTCCCCCTATCTGGCTGGCACCCCTGGGCACTCCCTAACTCCCGGGATCAAGACCCAGGATTGATGCACCATCCTCAGGTCCTCTTCCTCCCTATTCGGCACCAGCATCCCCGCCTCACATAGGCCCCTCTGCTCCTTAACAGTGCTCAGCTGAGTGTGGCATAGGAATCCAGCAGCGTTCTGTGGTCTGCCTTGGGAGTGGGGAGGCCCCTGGGACAAGCCAGGCAGAAGCAGGAGCAGGAGCCAGTGAGCAGAGCTGTGCAGCAGGAAGCCGTCCCCCTGACATGCGTGCCTGCAGCTTGGGGCCCTGTGAGATGACCTGGTGCTGGTACACAGGGCCCTGGGCTGAGGTGAGCGGAGAGCCTGGGAGGGGGCCCCCATTGGTGGGATTCCCTGTAGGCAGTTGGGAGTGACCCCTGTTCTACCTTCCCCTTATACACTCTGCCCTTCCTCTATATTAGTGTTCCTCAGACTGTGGCTCTGGTACACAGTGGAGAGACATCATCTGTGTGTCCAAACTGGGGACAAAGTTCAATGTGACTTCTCCTAGCAACTGTTCTCACCTACCCAGGCCCCCTGCCCTGCAGCCCTGCCAGGGACAGGACTGCCGCGACCGATGGTTCTCTACGTCCTGGAGTCCGGTGAGTGTGTCAGCATGCTCAGCGTGGACTTCCAGGGAAGGGGAACCCCTCTCACTGTGCTGGCCCTCTGCCCCAGCATAAGGCCGGATGCGATTTAATATCCCACTTGTTCTAGACATGGAGAACAGGTGGGCCCCTCTCCCTGTGGGATTTCATAATGCTCCAGGACAGTCCCTCCACACACTACTTTCAGAGGAGGAGGAGCCTGGGTCACAGCGAAGGTCTGATTTGGTAGCCGGGGTCTCCCCAGTGTTCTCACTCCTGTCAGGGGGGCACACAGACAAGGGAGGTCCACTGCCTGACTGCCAACCAGACTCTCAGCACCCGATGCCCTCCTCATCTGCGGCCCTCCAGGAAACGACCCTGTAACAGCCAGCCCTGCAGCCAGCGCCCTGGTAACAATCCCCCTCTCCCCAGCCCCCAGTAGAGTGAAGTTAGCTGAAATGTGTGTGGAGATGAGAAAGGACCAGTGGGACTGGGCAACACCCCTCCGGAGGAATGGACCTTACTGACTGACTGGTGCCCACTGGCCTCTGTCCCCAGATGATCAGTGCAAGGACAGCGCTCCACATTGCCCCCTGGTGGTACAGGCCCGTCTCTGCGTCTATCCCTACTACACAGCCACCTGTTGTCGCTCCTGCGCCCACGTTCTGGAGCAGTCTCCCCCAGAGCCTGCCTGAAATGGGTCCAAGAGACCCTCTCCTCATGTTTTTCTCGTGCCACCATTAGTCATCCATCAGTCAGTCCACTCTTTCCTCTGGCTTTCCAGCCCGTCCTTGCCTCCCCAGGGATGATCCTAGGGTGGTTGAAGGTGGCAAGATGACTGGCAGTGACAGTCAGGAGGTGTGGTTATGTCTGTGTGGTGCTGTGATGCTGTGTGGACATATGCTCTCAAATGTGTATCTGGGCCTGCATGGATGTGTGTACGCTCATATATGTGTATCATTTCTCAAAAAGAAGTTAAACAGACTGAGAAAGAGTGGGGAGGGGATGCTGCCTATTTCCTAAGACTTTTCTAGGCTGACAGGAAAGGAGGTTTGCAGCTCCTTAGTAATCTGAGCTGCTTAGCAACTGGCCTTCCCATCAATCACAACTTTGTTCCCTGACCCTCATTTCTCATGTTCAGGCCTCACAACTTCTAAACCACCCATTTGTCCTCTGACCCCTTCTCCCCTTAGTTTCTGTATCCCTACCTCTCTAGGGGTGGGGTCAGCCACTTTCAATCCTGCCTTGCCCAGGAAGAGAGACAACCTCCCCAGAGCAGGAACTAGCTGGGCAGAGGACGGAAAAGAGAAAGGTTAGAATAAGACACTCTAGCCCCTGCTCCCACTCCTGTCTCCTAAGATGGTTTCTTCCCCAGAGCTAATTTATTTTTTATTAAAGATGATTATCACAAATGATAAACCAGCTCTTTATTTTCCTCATGGGAATCTGGCCATACGGGCCACCGAAGCAAGCGGTGCGAGGTCAGAATGAAGGGAGGAAGGGCAACAGCACTTAGAGCCCAGGAAGAGAGATTCTGGGCCCAGGAAGACATTAAATGAGTGAGCCTGAGTCACCTGAGATCAGGAACCCTGATCTGAGGGAGAGGATCCTGGCTGGCCATAGGCCCTGCAAGTCGGTCACTGACCACTAGAGGTCACCACTTCTCCCAGTTAAAGTACGTAGTTGGGAGCTGGGGGCCAGAACTGAGGAAAAACTGCTTGGCCTGTGGAGGGTTTCTGGGTAGGCTGAATCTTTCTGTAAAGTCTCTTAGACTCTAGTAGCACTTTTTTCAATTTGGGGCTGAGCTGAATGGCAACTGGCTTTTATCCTGTTCTCTTTTGGCCCTGCCTTCCTGCCTCCCCCATCCTTTCTGCTATTGCTCTTTTCCCTATTAAGCTCTTGGTTTATTGCTTTAATAAAGGTGGGGGCGGGGATAGGAAGTGATTTCTGCCCCTCACTTCCCTCAGCGGACGCAGCTGGAGGAGGAGGAGCTTGGCCTGGCTGGAGGGAGCTTGCGGTAGAGGCACGGGCGGAGCCAAGGCAGTACTGGATGTCCTGCCAAGGACACATTCTTCAGAGATGTCTCACCCTAGTCCCTTCCCTCTCCCCTCTCCTGCCCACTTCATGGGTCAAGGTAAACAGCTTGCTTTGAGGGGAAGTGAGAGCAGTGGGCAATCTTTTCCATAATACAGATCCTTTCCCTGAGCCCTAGAATTCTGAGGTCTGAATCCAGGTCTCCACTTCCAGAGCCAGATTTCCCAGGGGTCCCTGTACCCCTGAAGGGAGCAGTGCAACAGAATTGGACTCCTCCCTGTTGGAAGCATCCACCTCCCCATCTCTGCACCTCCCTAAGTCTGGCCTAGTGAGACCATAATAAAGGCCTGCAGAAACTGTTGAACTCAGTGACTACTATTTCCTGAGTACATGCAGACCCTGTGAAGGACACCTGTGTTGCCTGAGGAGACAGGATTTCTCTAGTGGCCTCCTCACTTCAGACTGCTGCCTTGGGACTTAGGCTCTCCCTGAGTTGGAAATAGCTGTGAAAGACAACTTTGGACATCTTGGCGGGAGAGTGGGTGAGGAAAGAGGCAAAAGGGAATGGAGGGAAAGGAGAATGAAACTGATTCTAGCCCAGGACAAGGAATGAGGAAAGGGGTACAAGGAAACTCAGTCTCTGCTCAGCCTAAAGAGGAGGTGTCAGACCTGTTCTTCTCTTTGGTGAACCTGTAAGGGGATCAAAGATGATCCCCAGGGAAGTGGGACCTGGGCAGCCTGTAGTTACTGAGGGCTGAAGTCCAAGGCCTAGGACTGGAGGGAGGGGTGGTGGTAACTAGCTGGGGCCCTCCCCGCGATTCCTGGAAGCTGCAGCTGGGTGGTGGCCCCAGCTCAGCTGACTTCCCCGAAGTACACCTCCCTCTTTGGGCTGTTGCTGGGCTGGTCTGGAGTGCTGCCTATGCCTGAGAGCCAATCACACATTGGGAAAGTAGCTGCAGCCCCACTTGGACTCCCCCAGCCTCAGCCCTTGCTTTCTCTCTCTGACAGCCCCTGAACTCTGACTTCTCAGGATGTGGGCTTCCGTCAGGGCAGTTGCCCCTTTCCCCTCTTATTTTAAAGCCAGACTCAGTGCAGCCCCTCGGGGTACTTTCCTCTGGCCACTGAGGTCAGCATGGGGTCAGTGCACACATTTCCAGGAAGGTGAACCTGACCGCAGGTAACCCCTTTCCTTGTCCCCTTAGAGGGCAGTGTGGCCAGACACCTCTTTCTTGACCTCCAAAACCCTGAAGGGACTTGGGAGAGAGGAAGCTGCAGTTCAAGGCCAGGGAGTTGTGGTGGAGGGGCCCCTAGGTTTGGTGCACTAGGGGGAACTTAGGGAAGGACTCAGAGGAACTGGACCCCTGAGCACTGAGGTGGGGGTGGGGTGGTGATGGGAACAATCGTGATATGCACGAGAGAGCTCAAGCGTGCAGGTGGCCAGTGTGTTGGTAAGGGCTCCTCTTTCCTGAGTGTCTGCGGGAGCAAGGGGTTGTGGTTCTGTGTCGGGGTACTTACAGGTGACCTTGTGAGGTCTCAGTCCAGCTGCATCAGGATTCCTCTCCCCTCCCCTCCCCCAGCTTCCCCAGGGTAATTACCCACCCAATTAAGCTGCCACCTTCAGACTAAATTTATCTCCTAGACTTCCCCAACCCCCTGGCCTCCCTGCAAGCAGGTGCTCGCAGCTGCGGAGGGCAGGGGGAGGCAGTCTCCAGAACCCCATAGTCTTCACTTGACCAGATTCAACCTCTCTGGTAACTAGGATTGAAGCAGAACAGAGGGTCCAGCACATGCGTGTCTCCGCCTTCAGGCTCCCTTCTCAGGCCCATTAGAGAAGACCTAAGGCTAGATGATGTAGACAGCCCTCCAGGCAGTGGGAGGGCTAAAGGTCAGAGTGAGAGGAAGCCAAGAAGCTCCCCTCCAGATTCTCTCCAACCAGGTCCTCTTACATTTGTTTCCTCCTCCCCAGTTTTATGAATAGAGACTTCATATTAACACCCTGTGCCACAAGAGTAAACCGAATCGTGAGACCTCTCCTCTCCTTCAACCATGGAGAATCATGCTAGAGACCGTAGTTTGGGTGTGTGCAATGGGGTGGGGGTTCCCAAGTTTCTACCCTCCCTTGTAGCCCATCCCTCAAATCCACCATCTTTGCTGCCAGGATGTCAGCTGGGTGGGGAAGTTAGGACAGAGGGGGCTTATCTGTCACAGGCAGATGATGAAGAGGTGTCAGCTTTAAATGGCTGCAGGCACCTCACAGGAAATAGAAAGCTTCAGGAAAGTACCTAGTGTCAACAAAAGCAATCAAAAGTTTGGGCTAACCTCAAACTAGACAGCACAAATCCTGACTCTGACTTCAGGCTCTTTGACCAAGCAGATGGGAAAACTCTAGAGGGATATGTTTCAGGGCTGAGGTCTGAAGAAAGAGAGCAATGTTCAAGATTAGTCCAAAAGAAGGTATGCATGAGCTATGTCAGATGGCAGTCAGATCCTGGGGAGACCTGTGTTTGAGTAGCCTGGGAAAGAACCTGAGTAGTCAGAGAGATGGGTTCAATTTCACGAAGGTCCCAGGTTGGGGTTAGGAAGTGTGTGTTGTACTCTTTTCAGCATTGCCTGAATCTCTAAGAGACAGCTCTACAGAACTTTTGACAAGGAAAAGAAACTGGGGGAGAAAGGTAGGGCTACTTAAAAAGGAGCAGGCTGAGTCCTGGGATCCCTAGGCTAAAAGGCAAGGTGGTGGGGCCCTGCCCTTGATGAGCCACAGATTTCTGTCCCTGGAACCCAAGTACCCCTTTCTTTCATCTCTACCTTCCTCCCTTCCCTCTCTACTACCTATCTTTCTCTGCCTGCCTTTCATTAAATAAGGCTCCCTTTAGCTCCGGTGGAGTGGGCAACTTTTCTCTTAAGGACCAGAGTAAATATTTTCTGCTTTGCAGGCCATACTCTGTTGCAACTATTCATCTCTGCTGCAGCTGCAGCACAAAAGCAGCCACAGACGGTATGTAAACAAATGGGCATGTGTTCTAGTGAAACTTTATTTGTATAACATTAAAATTTTAATGTTACATAATTGTAATAAGTCACAAAATATTTTTTCAACCATTTTTTTTTAAATGCAAAAACCATTCTTAGCTTGGATAGCTTCGGCAGGCAGGCAATTTACTGACCCCTGGCATTTTTTCCATCTGGCTGAACTCTTCTGCCAGCCTACACAGAGTCCTGTCGGGGGAACAGTATCTTTTAATTAACCATCCTGTCTCCCGATGGCTACTTTGTAAGGGCTTCTCCCGGAGAATCCAACAACTGGGAAATGGCTAAGAGAATAAACCCTTAAGGGATATTTCCTAAATTCCTAACATTTATATAGTGCTGTAGGTAAAACAATTATACATATTCTCTGCTTAAATCTTTACAATAATAAAATAGTAAGATAGGAAAGATAGTGAAATCCAGTTTATAGGGGAGAAACTAAGGCCTGGGACCTAGTCTAGTCTTTTCACTTTTTAAATTCTACCTAATTCCTTTGTTCTGTGATTTAACTTCACTCCCATAGAGTACCCTTATCAAAATACTTAATAATTTGAGCCACAGTGATCAGTGTTTTTGTTGTTTTCAAATGTCTTTCATGACTTTTCACAATTTAGGAAAATCCTGTCTAGATTTTTTCATCCCAAAGTGTGAAGGAATTAAAAATCCTTTCAAATGTATCTTCAGTATTTAAGTCCAAGGAAAAAACTGAAGTAAATACACATGGTCTTTATTTAAGGTATAATGGCATGCAAACATAGGCTTATGTATTCCTGGTTGAGCCACAGATTTTTTTCCTAGGACAAATTTTATCACTCAAAGTTGTGTGATATGTTCTGTATTTAAAGGCAATGCAGCTGCGTTTCTTTTTTACACAACCTATATTTACTATTAATAAACAAATCCTTATTCTGTATAAGTAATTTTTCATTCATAAGCATTAATATATCCGTTCATGGTTCATAATGGGGAAAGGAAGATACAGAGACCCTACCCTGTTTCAGAGTAGACCCTAAGTAACCAAACTTTAAAGTGGGGGAAAGGAGCAAGCAAGCAGGGAAACCAACCACCTTTCCTTACCATTACCTAGCTCCTCTGCAGAGCTGTTCCTTAAAGCTGAAGAAGTCATCTCATTGCAAAACAGACACACACACACAGCTTCATTTCATTTCGAAATGAAGTTGTTTCCCTCTTTCTGTTTCTCTACCTTCGTGAGGGATTTCTGAGAAATGAAAAAAATGTCACCTCCCATACTCAGTCTGCCGTTTTGTCTTTTTTTTTTTTTTTTTAATGGACAGGAGAGGGTTAGAGGAGAAGAGTATACTGCTTAAGCATCCAGTATTCATCCAAACTTCACAGGGTAAGAGAAATGCCATTTCCATAGTAGCCCTTAAGCAGAGGTGGGCCCTGCCTTGCTTAAGATCTTGGCTTTCAGGATCTGAGGAAATAAACAAACTATGGTTTTAGGAAATCTCAGTAACAGAGCAGTGAAACCTAACAGCTGCTCCTTGCAGCAGCCCAGCTGTCTCTCCTCCCCCATTCCCACCAAGGACATGAGATGGGTGGGAACTGCTTCAGGCAACTCAGGCAACACAGGAGGGGAGGTACCAGCTGAGGTATGAGAGATCTGGGCACACAGAGGAATAAAATGCATATGAGAGCAATGTTTCCCATCTCCCCCCAAAATCTGAACACCTAAGAGTCATACCAACCCAGTAGGGGAGACTATGAAATGTGTAGCGAAATTTTCTAAACTAACTCCTCATACTAGACAAGAACATTAAAGGTATTTTTCTTTAAAGAAAACAGAGTTGAAAGCCTTTCTTAATCAAAATAAGTGGAAAACTCCTTTAATCCAGGATGAAATCCAACAATCAAACATTGTTTTCCTTGTCTGCTTCCTTGGCTCCCCTTCCCAACACACCTTGTTCCAGGCTAACTTGAATAAACATACACGTGACCACATAAGGGAGAAAGTCAAGAGGGGGTGGTGAGATTCTGAATGGAATGCAGTACCAGCTAGTTAGGAGGCCCAGGCTGAGGCCTCTGGCACTGGCTGTGGATTTATGCAGGCAGAGAAGCCAAAACAATGAGTTCATGGGCAAGAATGCTGCCCTTGGGGAAGTCTGAGCAGAGCAAACCGGTCTTTTGAACCAAGATGGGAATAGCTGTGAATGAGTCTCCCATGAGAACAGGATTAGGGAGTGGAACCACCACTCAGTACCTTGGGGTCCAGTTAAATAACTTTTGGAGGCTGTCACTTATTAAAATTCTGTTCTGCAGAGAGCATAACACCCTCAGGTGTATTTTCAAAAACCTGGTTCCTTTCCCTGGTTATGTGAACCTGGGTGGGCGAAGGATGAGATGGCTGCTGAGATATGTGACTGAGCAACTCTCAGTGATGCTCTAAGATGATTTTTCAAAGCAGGCCTACAAATGCTAGCTCCTACACCAAGAGCCAGTGGTGGCTATGGTCCTGAGATTGTGTACATTCAGGGCCACCACTTTAACATGATAGAGGAATCAACGGAGTCTATCTTACTTCCCAAATAAACACAGTCCACACAGCCATGTGTCCTTTAAGCCAACTTCAGACTCCTAAGACATTTCCCCCCCACCATTTTCCCTTATTTTTATGTAAGGCCCCAAATGGAAAAAACTGAAGAGATACTACATTCACTGGCCATGTATGGGAAAGGGGAAGGCAGGCAGGGAGACAAGATGCTAAGAAAAAATTATCCACAAATCTCTACACCCCCAGACGTTCTTCCCTAACTCCATATGCTTTTGTGTATGTTTGTTTCCTATGTACTCTTTAAGGTCCAACCTCAAGTGTCTTTTGAAGCCCTCTTGACTACCTTCTACTTCCAGAGGTGGTCACCCTGAAGTCCTACCCCTTATCTTACAGTACCTTTAGGACTATTTTGTGCAATGTATTCAACACTTTTTGTCCATGGTTATCACTCCTACTAGATTGAATGGAGTTTAACATTTTGCCACAATTGCTTTCTCATGTTACACATAAATTCTTCAGCATGTATCTCCTAAGAACACTTCACATAACCATGATACACTTGGAACATTTAACATTGATACAATACTAACATATTGCCTGTATTAAAATTTCCCCGATTGTCCCTAAAACCTTTATAGCTTATTTCATTCAGGATCCAAAGATCACCCTGCATTCAGTTGTAATGTTTCTTTTGACTGTTGCCTAGTTTTTTTTTTTGACCAAATTTCTAGAGGGAAAGAATTATTTTCTTAATTCCAGCATCCACTAGTGCACGGTACACAGTAAGCAGTCCACTGCCATGGACTGGACCAATAAAGAGGCTCAACAAACATCTGGTTACAGAGAGCTCATTTAATGTCCCAGCTCATGGCAGTGTTGAAACCTTAATTAAACCAAGGTAATACCTGAACAGAGGATGAGAAGGCAAAGTTAAGAATACAGAAACCGATGGCAGAAATAAGCCATGGAAATAGATCCTTGGAATGGATAAAATCCAGAGTATCCTTGGCCCTGACATATTTTTGTGCAGGAACTACTTTATGCAGGTGAAGAACTGCCAGAGAAACCAGGTATAGTGTGGGAACAAAACCCTGCTGTGTTCTTTTTTACCTAACCATTAGTAAAGAATGCGGAGTTCTCAGGCCTGTTACATCTGCCTGGAGGCAGACTGCCAACCCCATCTTTCCACATGCTTCACGTAACTAAGATGGCACTATAACAACTGGGAACCTAAAGAGGGACAGAGTTAAGTTTTCAAAAATTGAAACAGCAGTTTTTGAACAGTGTAGGAGAGTTCAAGAAGACAAAGCTCTGTGTTATTAAATAAATGGGGCCATAAAGAGCTACAATTAATTGATACTCAACAGACCACCTTGAACTCCAGGAATTAATGGCCTGTGCTCTGGGTATCTGGCTGGAGCCATTGCTACACACCAATTGTACAAATTATTCAATTTTTGTAAAATCCTCCAGCTGTCACAATTGCTTTAAACAAATGTTTCTAAAAAGAAGTAGTATGAAGTAAAGAGCTGGTTCTAAAGTCGCAAAACAGGAACTGAAAGAAAACAGTGTCAAGTGAAGGGAAGCGTTACATTGATTCCCTCAGTAACTCGTTACCTGGTTACCATTTGGCCCAAGTTAAGGTGTTAAAGGAATGCCACAGAAATGCATCACATTATCAACGGGAGTGTGTAACTTGTGACAAGACCTGAGCTGTTCTGTCTTGTGGTATCCTCCCTCCATCCAGTTTGAGAGCATCTGTACCTAACAGCTTTAAAATGGTAAAAAGTTACTGTCTTCTGATAGGTAGGCTCCACAATGAGCTACCAAGCAGAAAAAGGCATTTTTAAATGTACAGAATCCTATTTGCAGGCTTAGCACTTGGTAGTAGGGGCTTAAGACTAACATGCAAACCTCGCATTTGCACATTTCCATGGCAATTGTGCTTTCAAGGTAGCTAAAAAGAAAGACAGGATAGTTTCTGAAATTGACTAGCTTATTCTCACATCATCTTGGGCGAGGGAGAAGGGTAGTAAAACAGTACCAGAAATTTTACCAAACTCCTAACTTTGGCGGTTATTCTGCTAACTCCTTCACCTCAAATTGTTGCAGTGGGGAGACAGCGAATGCCATAATGAACCCTCTTGCCTCAAAATACCAACATTTGGTGACAAAAATCAGAGGACAGGGATTTTGATTTTTATATCAAAATGCACAAGAACTATTCTGAAGCACAGCAGTAAATATATAAAACCCAACCCTCTAATTTGAATTAAAGAGGGGTTCTTCTGAAGGGAACTGCCCTTTGCTCTAAGGGAAATCAGCTTTATTGAGCTTAGCTTGTTAATTCATCTATACTTATTTGCTCAGCTGGCTTTGTTAAAAGGCTTGCCCAAGAGGGGGAAGGAAAACAGGCATCAATTAGAAAACACCCATAACACACCTTGTATTTGAATAAAAGATTTATTTTCTTCTCAGAAAAAACAGGAAGTTAGGGAAATACACTACATTTTACAGCCCACATTATAGTTGGTCCTAACTCTTCCTGGCACAGCTGTCAACAGCATTTGCTGTTTAACAGGAACCAAGGTGTTTACCCTCCCCCCACTCCACAGAATGTACATGGACGACACTAGAGTGATTGCATGTTTCTCCCTGAGAGAAGCTTTAAGACAGAAGTTGCTGAGAGAACCAGCTTTCCAAGCAGCCCTTCCCTTTCCATTTTGGAGGATTTGCCCTGAACTATGCAGTCTGCCAGCAGTTGGTACATGTGCCTCCTCTCCCTATAAAACCACCCACCCTTCCTCAAGCACTTGGGCTCCCTAAGCCCTCACAGCCTTTGACCCAAAGTATCAATTAAGATCTTCATCTACATTGCAGCAGTCACACCTAGTAAATTGGGAAGTGGAGCCCCCAAATCCCACCAATTTACATCTATGCACTTATTTCCACAACTGGATATAGGGAGTCTTTTAGTCATCTCCACCAGATCTTAAGATTAATTTAAAACTACATAAAGTGCTTTTAGGTCCTTAGAGATAGACATGACATAAATAAGTGGTTCATTATCAAGAAGATAAATACATAGGTAAAAATGGCTCTATATGACCTTATGCTCGGAGATGGGCACACAGGGCAAATTCTTCCCCATTACATTCTTAGTCATTTTATTCATGCCTATTTTTATCCGGAGTCCAAGGTCACATTCTGAGGCAGAAGTTTTCAAATGACCCTATTTCCATTACAGCTCTCTTCAGTTTACCAGTTTTATGTAACCCTTTCAGGTTTAACAGAGTCCACACTTCTTTTAAGTGAGTGTAATTCAAATGCAGAGGAACCTAGAGAAAGTCACATAAAATGTTGCTCTCTCTGAAAATTCCCAGCCCAGACAGGATAAAGCAACAACTGAAAGGGTACCAGTCCAAAGAAAAGGGACTCCTCGCACCAAATGACTCTGTCACAGCACCCATTGTACTACCACCTCCCAAGGATAAAATTCATTAAGGATGAAGGCCTGTGGACTCCTAGGGGGGTTATCAACGTTCCCAGATGGGGTCCATAGTGCCAAAAAATGAAAGAGCTAGTAAGAGTTTAGGGATGGTAGGGTTAAAGAAGTAGGAATGGATATAAATATCTATAAAGGGTGCAGAACAGCCAGCAAATATTTCAAGGAAGGATATGACATAAACACAGATTCAATACAGTATCAAATCTGAAATTCAAAGAGATGCCAATGTAAAAATCTGAAAGTTTAGGAACCATTTATAGAAACAAAACAGTAAGTATTTGCTTTATTGAAGTAATAGGCTTAGACCTGTGTTTAACAAGCAAGCCTAAATATAGCACCATGGTTAGACTAGAGTCTGCTTTTCCAAGTCATCATTTTACAATGTATTAAGCAAACAAGGGACCAAATGCCTCTCATCCACCTGATGTGATCTTTTTATGCACATACTTCTTGTAAGTCCCATTTGGAACAGCTGAAAACCAAAAAGCTTTGAAGATGAGCTCATGAACTCAGTTTAAATTTCACCAGTTAAATAAGGTCAAATGGAAGGAACCCAAATTAGTTGCCCAGAGTCCATTATTTTTAAATCCTCAGCCCACATGCCCCACCCTGTCTCAAAAACAAAAGCAGGAAAAAAAAGCCACCTTGACTCAATTATTGAAAATCTACGAGTTAACTATGTGAAAGGATTACTCTCCATTCCTCAATTTCACAATCTCCCAGTCCCAGACTTAAAAAAAAAAAAACTATCTAAGGAATACTTACGAAAATCAGACAGGAAAATTAAAGCCTGCATAGTTGACTCAGAATTGTTCCATTATAACCAGGTTGCTTACAATTACATCACTTGGTTCTGTAGACAATCTAGAACTGACCAGGACAAAGTTTAGTAAAGCTGTTAAGAAACAGGTTCCTAACTACCGAAGTTGTAAATTTCAAAAGGGCATGAAAAACTACTGTGAATTCCAGACTCTTTCTCCTTTACATTTCAAAGAAATACTTTCTGTAAAAATATATACAATTTTTACAGACAAATACAAGTTGTGTTTTAAAAATTGAGGATATTCCATATTTGCAACTAATTATTGAGCCTTTAAGTCAAGTATTCTTGGTCTTTATTAGGCTATTAAACTAACAGTCAAAATAAGCCAAAGTAGAACAGGTATGAAAGTCCTGAGCACTTACACTTTATATTCTTCAAGAAGTATACCTGGGAAAGCTTATTAGAGAGCAAACAGCTTTCCCTTCACACTGTTGAACAGTACTGAGGCTTCTAGTCATAGTTCTATTACCTGTAGCTTAAACCCCTCTTACACAGATTACTGGCACTATTAGTGCTTCTTTTTTAACACTAGAGAAGTCATGAAATTCAGTGGGTATATTTAATGAACTCTATAACTAGCCTGGCTACTGGCCACTCTCCTGTTCTAGGCAAGGAAAATTCAGTCTGCCCACTCTATCTTTACTAAATCTAAAAGTCCTCCTCCAGGGCCTCCCAAAGTTTGCTTGTTGCTGAAACTGAACCTTGCTTCTTTCAGACAGCACGTCTCTTCAAGGGGGACTACTTTTCCCATGTATTTATTTTTGTTAGCCATAATCCTCTCGCCACTTGCTTTTCTAGTTGCTAGAGCATAACTCTTGGAGGTTACAGCCTGGACAGCTTGAGGTCCAACTTCATAAATACATCTGATAACATAGCAGACAATGTGGTTTTGGTGGCTGGAGTTGGTTAAGAGTCCAATTATTGCACTTAAAAGGCTATCTTATTAGATATGCCAAACCAGCTCCTACTCCAGCAACACCTGCAAATGCCAACAGCACATTTCTGATGCCACCTTCTAGGTCCTCTACACGGAAGAATTCCACAAAACCATCCTAGAAAACAAAAAAGAAAATCACATTTTCAAGCATGGGTGTCCACTGGCTTAAAAACACGATTTACAGAGAGAAGAGGAATTCAAACATATCTAAAACGCAATGATGACGCATATTAATTAAAAGGAGGGGGCCTTTTGCTCAGGAATGTAGTTCATTCTCAACCCCAGGTGATTCTTATTTCTTCATAATTTGAATCCACTGGTGTGAAGTTGAATCCAGCTGAATTACAATAAAATACCAAATGCAAAAGACTCAACCACCAGTAAAATAGCCTACAGAAAACCAGGATTTTTGATGCAACAACTCAAGATAGTTAAACCATGATCTCTGTGTACCCACTACTTAAAATCAACATCAAGCAACCAGAGGCTCATTAAGCTAGAGGCTGAATAGTGAGTTGTGCATCATTAGTTATCTCCACTTTCTGAAAATAAAATCCTCCATTCCATCTCCACTCCAAGGCCCTCTTCAAGCCTAAAACAAACTTACCCAGCCTCTTTGTTTGACTAGCCAGTCTCGTTTTGTCCTTACGAGAACATCTGTGATGCTTTCTGCTAATGGTACGATGCAGCTTTCTTGGTTTATACTTTTCAAGTGTTTGGCCACAATGGCACCAAAAGAAATGAGAGTCACAATCCTGCCCCAGTTTGTTACGCCGTCACTGAAAACATGGACCATCACTCGAGACAAAGATTTGACATCGTCTTCGTTCTTGATGTCCAGTTTACGAAGCATGCCTGAGAAGGAAAAAAGCACGCAGATTCTCATGGTCTCCTTCGTCTAAACACGGCACGATTCGCCTGCCCACCCATGGCGGGGGTATATCGCTATTTGGGATCTACAGAACTCAGGCCGACCCCCCTAGAAAACTGACATCCCACCCTTTCCGGGCTATGAAGAGAGCTGCCATTTCCAAAATAATCAAGATGGGCGGAAACAATGACTCATGGCCAGAATATTCTGGTCTCAAATAGGATGAGAGTCCTTTCAATGACTCGTTTCGGTTTCCACCCATGTGTGCTGGGTGAGTCCAGGGAGAGGAAAAAAACACTGCGCGACCTTCGTGACCAACTCCCCTACCTTGGAAGGCCGTCTCGTGGTTGCGCTGCACACCATCCCCGACCCTTCGTAGGGTCTCTAACGCCTTCCGGCTGGCGGCCCCACACACGCCCATTGGCTTCACGTCCTTGGCGCCGGTAGCCTGCTCCTGAAGATACCGAGAGATAATCTCCAGCGACTGCCGGTACAATTCGTCCTCCTCCTCCTCTGCTGGGGGTGTCGAGGGTAGTGAGCCGTCAGTGCCGGAGCCATTACTAGGCTCCCCGACCAACTCCAGCAAGGGCAAAACAGCCGGCCGCTTCCCGAGAGACTCCGGCTCGTACCCGTCCAGCTCCTCTTCGGGCGACATGATGGCGTCGGCAGCTGGGGCTTCCATTTCTTCAGGCGGCGACATGTGGCGGGTGGGCGCGAAGAACAGCAGCCTCGCGGGGGTCGTAGTGACGTCGGGGCTCTCGGCGCCAATGGGCGAGGGCCGCGCGACCCTCCGGGCATCTGGCGCGATCGCGGCCGGGGGACTCGCGCCGGTGCTTCCGCCAATCACCGCACCGGCTTCCTCTCCCCCTGCCTCCCGCCTAGCTGCGGCCTCCTTCCCCGCAGTCAGAAGCCGCCCTCCCGAAGGCGAGGCGCCGCCGCTGCCGGTCCCCAATCCGGCCCCCCCACAGTAGAGGTTGAGTCCAATTACTGCGTTTCTTTTGAGGCCAAACATCGCAAGCTGGAGTCGCTGGAGCCGCCGCCGCCGCCTTCTAGGTGAAAAAGGTGGGGGAGGTTCCACCTCTTTACTTGAAGGAAGCGGAAGTAAGAAGTGAGCGAGGCCCTCCTAGATCACGGTATTTTAGGGCCAGTCCTACGCGGGGGCGTCAGCAACTTAAAGAAAAAAAAAGTATTCCCATAAAAGGCTGAAAACTTCCGGATTGCGCACAGCACCTTACAGGAAGAGGCCGGACAGAGCTGGGCGGGGACTTCCGGTTTGGATCCGCCCACGGCGCTTTACGTAACCGCCGCCGGGGACCCTGGGCTGCGGGAGGCGGAGGGGAGCGTGGGGGACTCGCGCTTTCCCGACCTAGGTTTGCGTAATGGCTGCCTGGGTTCTTCGTAGGGTCTTGATTTGCGGGCCCTTGTTGCCGCTTCTGTGCTAGAGGTTTATTCCCATACCAAATTCTTATCTATTTAATCACTCAAGAGATTGAGGAAAGGGGATGAGGAAGTTCTGCCTTAGGTGGGGAATAACAGTCAGGTAACATTAGTAAGTAAGAGTGCACTGTAGGGGACCTTAATTTGCGCATCCTCAGCTGTCTGCTCTCAGTCCCACAGGGATTTGGAAATGGGGATGCTAAATGAACTGCCCTATAGGATCATTATGTGGAAATTGACTAAAAGAAATTATTCTGCCTCAACTGAATTTTATTCCTAGCTTCCTACTTGCTTTCTCGCATCCCCCATCTTCACTACAGAGTCTATGGTGAATACATACAAATCTACTCTCTTAGCGCCTCTTCTTAAGACTCTTGACATCATTTATTTTTGTATTAATAAGGCACATTTGACTGTAGGGGTAAACCTCTTGAGGCCAAGGATTCTGTTACTTGCCATATTTGTGAGTTAACATTAACTGAAGGAACTTCTTTTTGTGGAAGGATTTGTAAAAATACTAGCTAAAATTCAAGAGCATGGTATTTGAGGGATATAAGCAGGAAAGGTAAGCATGGTTCCTGTTCCCCAAAATGTCACGGTTTAATAAGGAGATAGGGTGCTATACTACATAATTATTTGGGCAAGATTTACAACCATGGGGATTTATAATACGGGGCAGAAAGGATGGAGAGAAATACTGTGGGTGTAGTGAATAAGAAATGGTTTTCTATTTTAAGAATTTGTTATTTTGCACAGCAACTAGCCGTAATGTGAGATGGAATATATGCTCTACAGGAGGCATCAACGGCTCAATTGGAGTTGAGAGGTTAGGAAATTCACTTTGAACTACCAGAGCCAGCGGCAGATCTTCTGCAAGAGGTAGCTTTGCTGGGCTTTCTAGAATATGATTTCATTAGGTAGTCAAAGGGAGATTGAGAAAATGTCAAATGCAAAAAGACTTTTTTCAAAGGCTGAAAAAAAGGAATGCATTACAAGTTTCACTTTAAGTTTATAGCCAGAAATCTCAAGTACTTAGCAATACTATTGCATTTCCTTAGTCAATTCACTCTCCCGTGGCCCAAGATGACTATGGCACACCTTCTCTTCTGTCCCTAAACTTCCAATATTTCCTCCTTTGTTTCTCAGTTAACTTCACTGAGAAAGTGGAAGCAATTAGAGAAAAATTTCATTTCTCACCACTAAATCTACTAATTAACTCCTATTCCTATTCTGTCTGCCTTTGCTATAGTTAAGGTGAATGAATGAACCTTCCCTGCTATCTTAAACCAACCTCTTCACTTGTGCACTGGATCCCATTTCTTTTGTCTAGTACTTTGCAGTTGCCCCTTTACATACTTGCAGCAGTTTTTCTGTTGAACCACTTCCATCAGCACACAAACTTGATGTTCTCAGTTCTTTAAAAAGCATTCCCTTGGACCTAAATTCTTTGATGCTCCCCTTTATAGCAAAAAATTTCAACCTCCTTATTGCCTTTTCTCTTCCGAACCCACCCCAAGCAAGCTTTCATTCCCACCACTCCACTGAAACCATTCTTGTCAGTCATCAATGACCTTCACATGACCAAATTCCAGTGGGCAGTTTGCAGTCCTCTTTAGTTGATCTCTTGATCATTCCCTTCTTGAAACACTTTTATTTGCCTTTTAAGGCACCACACACTCATGGCTTTCCTTCTTCCACACTGGCGACTCTTCAGTTTCATGAATCTCTTCCACTGGCTGTCCACTTGTTGATGACACCTTACCCTGTTTCCCTTTGTAACACAAGCCATGCATGACTCATGGCAGAAACTCCATTATTGAATGGGTGAATCTGAATGTTTATTGATATGATGTCTTGCCAATGGGTTTCAGCCCTGGACAAGTTCACTATCGATTCAATGAGACCGAAAAAATGACAGTGGAACATTCTTGGGGTGAAAGGGTTTATACCCAACTTTATTCCCACAGTGGCAGGTCAATCACTAGAATCCTGTCCACTCAGGGCAAGCTGGTCTCTGCCTCTGGGCCGCACTGACCCCCTCAGCCCTCATAGTCTCTGTCCTTGGCACTGCCACCACTCCAGTCTCTGCTCTCCTACAACCATGCAGCCCTGCAGCCATGCAGCAGCCCAGAGCACGGGGTGGAGCTCTTTATATAAATTCAGTAACAATGTATTGCCCACATATGTGTAGTAAGCAAGCTGACCAGGGCCAGGTGAGGATCCTGGCCATAGGAATCTTCACTTTCTCTGCATACAGGATATATAAAGTCTAGGAAAGTAGGATGGGTCATGTTATTGAGAGCTTTGGAAGCCAGTCAAAGAGCTTTGAACTTTTCTAGGCAGATGAAAACCACTGAGCACTAGAGTATTGTGATATATGCTCAATTTAGGCTCGTTACTCTAATTTTGGGTTTTAGAATGGATTGAGGGAGAAAGGACTGGAAGCAATGAAATAACTTAGGTGGCTACACCATATGATAGTCAAAACTTAATGGTGACTGTACTCCGGCGCTACTGGTGGAAAAGGAAAAGTTAATATGGAGAGACTGTGGAGACAGAGTCTATATAACTTATGTTCTATCCAGGTATGGATAGAACAGAGTGTGATATCATAAAATACACATCCATATTATGTAAAATTAACAGGTAGACCACCTTCTAGACTCCTATGCAACTGCCCTAGAGAATCACCACTCTCATGGGTAGGGAAAGGGTCTATGCAGCTTGGAGGCAGAGTCAGTATGTTTCCAGGATGTCTGGGAGGTCCTGTCCTCAGGTAATTTTAGTTCACTTAGAAGGTCTTCTGACCCCTGGTATTAGAGTCAGAGGCACCTCTGGATCTGTGTATACTCTGTATCAACAATGGCTCTTGTTTGTAGAATAACTATATTGTCCACAGTCCTGAACCTAAAAAGAAAAGCACTGTTGACATCCTGACTGTGCCAATCTTTCTTGTAGGCCTATTGAATCCTTTGAAACATTCCCAAACTGTGAGCACATTTCCTCCTCAAAATGTGCTTTGTTTCAGAGAATTCATTTACATCATTTCTTTCAAAATAGAAAAAAAAAAAAAAGATCCCAGTGTAGGAACTAAGATTCTCTAGTGGCTTTATTCTCCAAGTCTTTTGGGACCTGAAATTCAGTATACTTAATATTTTGTGTAGCCTTCCCCCTTCTCTAATTAAAAACTTTCTCTTATCCTTACTGCCTCTCTTAATTATTCAACCATCTTATTCCTCAGCCTGGTAAAGTAGTGTTGTTTTGTTTTGTTTTTAGGCCCTGTATATAATTCAAGTTTTGGGAGGGTCTCCACTCTGCTGATAGAAATTTCCAGAACTACTGGAGCACCCTATTGTCTTTCTCTAGGTTGAGGCTAATCTTTTGCCTTTATGCTCTTTTGAATGCCTCTTCAACTTTGTTTGTTCCCACATACCAAAGTTTTATTTATGTCAATAATGAAGAAATCAGCAGAATGACAAAACTGGTTTAGAGAAGATATGAAAAATTGGGACTTACATAGTCAATAGGGAAGGAAATGCCAAGAAGGATGTTAAGTTAGGTACAAAAGCAGTTAATGTCCTCTGAGGCAGTAACTATAACTTCTGGGGTTATCTTCCTTAGTAAATGAGAAAAAAAATCACTGTATCTTATTAGTTTTCTACACATTATCCTCTGACACATTACCCTCTAAAACTTGTCTGTGCTTCATAATATAGGCACGTCATGGGGAAGGCAGTACAGTACAGAGAAGACAAGTAGTGACTCTATAGCATCTTACTATGCTGATGGACTGTGACTACAATGGGGTGGGGTGGGGGACTCAATAATAAGGGTGAATGCTGAAACCACAATGTTGCTCATGTGAAACCTTCATAAGATTATATCAATGATACCTTAATAAAAAAAATGTGAGTGCTAATCAAAATTACATTCCCCAAGGTAATCTGGTGACCCTTAGGTGGACTTATTTGAAAAAGCTCTAGCACAATACTAAAAGATTCTGTAGTCATCTTTTTGCTTTACTTCTAAAATGTACATAATTTTTCCTACACAAATCCCCCCTGTGACTATAAATAATCTCTAAAGATTATTTTTGATCACACACTAAAAAGGTTGATTTCATGTTTTTGTATCAAAATCATTAACTGAATATCTTGCTTAGTTGGCTGTTTTCTACATTTCTACTGGATATGATACTCTTTCATACTGTGCCTTCAGCATCAAGATCTTTCTACCCTCCCATTACAACACCATAATTATCATCTTTGCCTACAAGATAATTTCAGGCCCTAGTCTCAACAGGTAGTAATAACACTAGCATATAACTAGGGTTCAGTAGCCTCTCAGAAGGTGGGACAGGCACTGCTAGTTCTATTATCCAATATTCATTCTTCTTACTTTCTGATAGAACCCAGAGTTGGCATGGTGGTTCCGTAATGATCAGGAACTTCTATTCCTTCTATTATGTTGTTCTGCTGTCCTCACACATGCTTTTCTATCTCATGATCCAAGATGGCTAGCTTCATCCACGTTATCTGCACACCAACCAGCAGGAAGGAGAAAAGGAAAGGCAAAGGGTATCTAGCTTCTTTTAATGACATTTTTGAGAAGTTGTGTATTAGCTAGAAATTAGTTACATGGTCTCCTAGCTTCAAGGGACGCTAGGAAATACAGTACTTACTGTGAATGTCTGTGTGCCCAGCTATAAATTGGGGATTCTATTACATCAGAAGAAAAGAAGCACAACTAGCAGGTTGTACCACTATATGCAAAACTATGTGGAGAAAATGATAAAACTCTATTGAAATACATTAAAAATCCAAATAAAGATAAAAAAATGTTCACATATAAGAAGACTCA